GGTCTCAACCATGGTGATAAGTGTACAACCGGGTTAGTGGTTCCAAACCTCACCACGTAGACGTCAACCCCTGACTGACAGACCTACTGACTCAATCTAAGACTCACTGAATCTTGACATGGATCCTGTTAACTATGGTTTCTAGCCTAGACTTACACTATGGCTGTCACTACTAAACCAGTGGCTGATCAGGAGGCATTTAAGGAGATCCCCCGCAACTCCTCAAGAATTCTTTAACGTCGCAGACAGGACGACGTGATCAGCTTGGTTCTGCCTGTGCTTTCAGCCCACAACTCAGCCTTTCCGGCCTACTGTGCCACACCGAGCAGCCCGCCGGTCTGTACCGGTTCTTGGGAGGGTTCGTATCCCCCGGGACAGTCGAGTCGTCAGACACAGATCATCAGCCTTACTTGGTATGGTAGGGGAGTGGTTCCAGCAGGCCCTCAACACTTAAAGACGGCCTCCGTTTCAGCCTGCAGCTCGGAGTTCAGACCCTCTACACTGAAACTGAACAGACCTGCCGGACAGTACCGGTCATTGGGCTAGACGAGTTGTTTAACGAGTGCTCGCCGCTCATGCCCAGGTCTCCAGATACCAGAGTAGAGATTAGTCCTACTAAGTCCCATGCAGGTTTGGCAGCAAGTCCCTATCCTTCATCCACAGAGTTCTATGACCTAGGACAGAAGAGACTCAATGCAGAAAGAATAGATAGACAGACTGTACTCAGCAAGTACCAAGGGGTATGTGCACATCCATAGGGCAAGGGGCAGGCTAAGGGCTTGTCGAGATGTTACCAACTCCAGCTTGGTCAAAATCTTGGTCAACGCCTTGGTCAACGGCCTTGGTCAACGCCGGTCAACGCTGCTATGACCCTCGGTCAACTTCGGTCAACTCCGGTCAACGCCTCCGGTCAACCCTCTTGGTCAACCCTTCGGTCAGCTATGGCTGCCGGCTCTTCTTCTTCTTCACCTTCCTCGCCTCCTTTCACCCCGCTGTCTTCTTTCTTCTCTTCTTCTTTTTTTTTTTTTTTGTCGGCCTCCTCTTCACCTCCTAGCTATGGCCGCTTCTCTCCCTGCTCGGTGTCTCCCCCTCTGTCCTTCTCCCTCCTACTTCGTCACTCCGTGGTACCGGCTCTGCGGCTATGGCCGCTGTCTTTCTTCTTCGTGGACTGCGCAGCAACTTCATAGGTATGCAACAGCCAATCTTGTATCGCTCATCTCTCTCTCTCTCTCTCTCTCCTCTCTCTCTCTCTCTCTCTCTCTCTCTCTCTCTCTCTCTCTC